ATGCATGTTTTTGGTCTGTGGGAGGAAACCGGAGTACCCGGAGAAAACCCACGCATGCACGGAGAGAACATGCAAACTCCACCCAGAAGGCACCTGGACCGGGGTTTGATCCAGAGACCTGTTCGCTGAGAGGCAGCAGCTCTACCAGTTGCGCACCGTGCTGCCCCCTCAGTGGGATTAACTTGTATAAATAAAGGTTGAATGAATGAAAACTTTATTTGTAAGGGAAGCTGTAATAAACATCTGTCTCATGTTCCACTCAGACACCATACCACACCATCCAGATGTGCCACTACCAGTTCTGCTGTGGCTGCTGCCCTAACATGATTGGTTGTGGTACCTGCTGCAAATTCTGACACGTCCTGCACAGCCTGGAAATACTTAAACCAATTTGTTCAACAGTTTTTATCCAAGTAATTTTAACTGTACAGTTGGAAATATCTGAGAATGAATGTTAAATTGTAATAGACCATGTTGAATATTTGAGGACATTAAAGTAAAACATTAAAACTGGATTTATTTTCATCATCCCCTTTTGATTCAAGCTGTGTTTTAATGAAAATGTTAAAGGAACTAGATACAATACTTAAGGAAAGTATTCACCCTTTTGAATGTTTTATCTTTTTATTGCTAATATAAATCTGTCATGGAAAAAAAATGCTATTTAAACTAAAGGGAAAAAAATTAAGTTCCTTTTTAGTGAGAAAACAATGATTTCTACAAATTAATGTAAATGTGAACAAAAATATGTTTTGCAAAATAGGTGCTTACATAAACATCCACACCTTTTAAAGTGACTGTCATAGTCCACCATTGTTAAAAACACCAAAGTGAATGTTCTGGGGTGGTCGAGTCAAAACTCAGACCTAAACTTCACAGAAAATGTGTGGTTTGACAATAAAACAGATGTTCATGATGATCCCCATGTAGTAGCTTGAGTGCGTTTGTAAAGAAGAATGGAGTAAAACTCCTGTGTTCAAATGAACTTGACTCATCAAAACTCGTCCACACAGACTCAGTACTCTGCAGCCAAATATACTAGTACTAAATACTGATGTGAAGGTAATGAATATTTGCAATTTTACACTGCATTTTTTAAATTTAATCTGTATTACTCTATGGAAACAGTTTTCATTTAACACTGAAGCCCGTATTGAATGTTTTTTTTTTTAATTGCCTGTGTAAATTGACCATGAGTGATTTATGACAAGAAAAGCATAAAACATCCAAGGATGTTAATACTTTTCATTGGTACTGTATAGTTTTTAATACACAAGCAGAAACATTAGCATGCCTGATGAATCAGGAGTGAAGTGAGAGTCATCTGTCTTTCTTCACACACACCCCTCATCTCGTCTGAAGATGTTGGCGGGATGGAGCTCATCTTTCCTCTTATATGAAAAGAGGTGAACTACAACCTGTTCAGGTCATTGAGCCAATCACAGAGCTGACAGAGAGACAGACAGGACAACGGTTTGATTCCTGAAGACAGAGGTAAATCCATCATGAAACATGAACACAAGGTTGTTTCATGTTGGTGCAGTCGGGTGGATAACTCGCAGGTGATCATTAATACACACCACCATACACACACATTTATCAAAATTAGCCAATAAGTAACCAGTAAGGGCAGCACGGTGGCACAACTGGTAGAGCTGCTGCCTCTCAGCGAGCAGGTCCCTGGTTCAAATCCTGGTCCGGGGGCCTTTCTGGGTGGAGTTTGCATGTTCTCTCCGTGCATGCATAGGTTTTCTCCAGGTACTCCAGTTTCCTCCCACAGATGAAAAACATGCATGTTAGGCTGATTGGTAACTCTCAGGGTGCATTCACACTAGCCCTGTTTAGTCCGCTTTAATCGAACTCTAGCTCGTTTTCCTAGGTAGTCCGGTTCGTTTAGGGAGGTGTGAACGTGCCATCGAACTCTGTCACGGAACAAAAAGGCGAACTCTGGCCCGGGCTAAAACCTAGGTCTCAGTCCGGTTGAAGAGAACTCCAGCGCGGTTCGAGTGCAGTGTGAATGTAAACAGACCGGACCGCTCCGCAGGGTAAACAAACACGCATCGCTCTTACCTTATATGGAGCCGTCAGCTGCCTTGTGTGAAAAACAATGTTCTCCATGGTCTTCTGTCTCATCTTCTGCTCATGCTAAGTCCATTTTTGAAAAATGACAAAATATAACTCCTAAAACTGCTAAAACTTGATGCCACTTCGTTTTTATTTTTATTTACAGAAGAAGAAGAAGACGTGTCTTCAGAGGTTTTTGTGTCGTTTCTTTCAGTAGTTCTAGGTGCAGCGCCCCCACAGGTGAGCGGGGGAATAGGTTGGTTCAACAGGTTGGCTCGACTGCACAGTGCAGTGTGAATGCAAACGCACCAGCTCAAATGTAAACAAAAGGTCATGAATATTGGTCCCGAACCGAACCGAGTCTACTGGACTATCTGGTGTGAAAACGACCTAAATTGTCCCTAGGTGTGAGTGAGAGAGTGAATGGTTATTTGTCTCTATGTGTCCCTGTGATGGACTGGAGACCCGTCCAGGGTGTACACCGCACCTCACACAGTGATTCCCGGACATGGGCACTGGCGACCCCCGTGACCCAAAATGGAAGAAGCGGGTAAAGATAATGGATGGATGAAGTAGCCAGTAAGTGTTTACAATGAGACATAACACAGCTTCACATATTTACACATTAACTTATTCAACGTGTTTTAAATGAACAAACATACAGAATCGTATGATTTAGCACATATTAAAAAAACAATTCCCAGAAAAAGAAAGAAAATAGCATGTTTGTTTAGTTTCCATTTGATTCACTATGATGCTCCCTTATTGTCTCTGATGAACAAAACTGCATTTTTTTTACTGATTAAAAATGAGTTAACGAGCTAGTATCAGTGTTATAATAATACAACAACAACAAAAACAACAATAGTAGTAGTAGCAGTAGTAGTAGTAATAGTAGTAGTAGTAGTAATAGTAGTAGTAATAAGAGTTGTTGTTGTTCCATCCATCCATTATTTGTAACATCTTCTTCCTTTTTGGGTCATGGATTATTATTATTATTAGTAGTAGTATTATCATTATTATCATTACAGACAGACAAAGTATATTTCCAATTGCTCCTTTTGGCTCAGCAACACGGGACAAAAACACTCAAGAATGGCTCAGAACTGAGAACTGAGCCCTGATCTAAATCCTGTTGAACACAAGGAAGGAGCTGAAACTTCTGAGGAAGGAACACTTCAGACCTGACAGCTGGAGCAGGTTTATCACGACGAGTGGACCAGAACACCTGCGGACAGCTGCAGAAGTCTCAGAGAGAGCTACAGAAATCACTTGATTGCAGTGGTAGGATGTAACTAAGTACAAGTACTTTGTTACTGTACTTAAGTACATTTTTCATGTATCTGTACTTTACTTAAATGGAGTTAAACTTGGGTACTTTCAACTTTTACTCCACTACATTTTACATGAAGTATCTGTACTTTCTACTACACGACATTTCTATATTGTGTTGTGTTACAAGTTACATTCACAATGTTTTTTTTTTTTTTTGTTCTTTAGTTTGAAAGTAACCAATGGTGAGAGAGGAGTTGGTCCATTGAATCACTGCAAAGTGGGCAGGTAACGTTAGGCCCACCTTCAAGAAGAGCTGGACCAATGACGTATATTCTAGTTTATATTATAGTTTATATTCTAACCCATGGCCTTATTGAAAGATTATTGAAAGTCTATTGAAAGACTGTTCAGTACAGCAGGACAGATGCTCCCAAAAGAGCCAGACTGAACTAAAAAAACTTTGAAAACCAACTTCTTCTAAACTTGAACAAGAAATTCTTGCTGCAACATTAAAATATGTCAGTTCATGATGTTAGGAGACAAGAGATGTCTCCAAATGTCTCGACACTCGGGTCCAAGTTTTGAAAATGGTGTCATGAAGTTAAAATATTGTTCACTATTGACCCATTACAAGGTTGAACAGACAGTATTTTAACTAGAGTTGATGACAAACTGGAGTTGAAATGATCAGTCTATTCCTTTGTTAGGTCTAATGCTATTTTTTTCAAGCAGACAACTTTTACTTAAATTTATTTACTGCAGTTAAAATGACACATTGATTTTTCTTTGTGTTAAATAGAAACTTTCAAAGGTATAATCATTCCTCTTTCTTATTTTGATTAATGACATTTAACTCTGCAGGTCATCCCTGAAATTCTGACTCACAGAATCACAAGTCCAAGTGTGAACTGTGTCACAGAGTAAACACAATAAAAACATGTATTATCTGCAGCATTGTTCATTAAAATGGAACAACACTATTAATGTATTACAGAAAATATACATACTGTAGGCACACTTAATGATATTGTAGACCAGCAAGTACTTTTACTTTAATACTTTAAGTCTTTTTAAAAACAATACTTATTTACTTTTACTTAAGTAAAGACGTTAATGTGGTACTTCTACTTTTACTAGAGTACATTTTTGTCTGTTTATTTGTACTTTTCCTTAAGTACAGGTTTGAGTAGTTTCTCCACCACTGCTTGATTGCCTCACAAGTTTGTGAAACAAAATGTGAAGGCCAGTTTCATTCATTTGCTTTATAATATTTCAAATAAATTATTATTTTTAGATCAATTAAAAAAATTGTGGTGAACAAAAATTCAAAAGCAACAGCTTTTATTCGTTTTTTTTTTTAACAAGCGGGCAAAAACAAATTTGTTTGTGTCTGCATTACAGGAAGTGAAACATTATCAAAAGAGCCGAGGATAAACCAGCACAGCAAAATAAACAAGAGACAAATTGCATTTATTGAACTGAAGCATTTATTGATGCAGTAAATCAGAGAGAATACAACAGTCATTATAGGCCTGATGGTGGCCGCAGATATGTGGCAGAGAGTTTGGATGAAACAGACAGAACATCAGCTGCAACATAACAGCATCACATCTTTCCACCCCTCACACAATAAAACATGGATACTTGTAACAGTAGTGGGAAAGAAAGATGTTGTTTCGAGAGATCCAGGATGCTGCTGACCTTCTCAGAATCTGCAGCAGATCCCGCAGCCACTCATGTTGGGGCAGCAGTTGCAGCAGAACCGGCAGCCGCGAGCGTCACGCTTCTGTTTGAGGGTATATGGCATCTGAGTGGAACATGATGAAGGAGTTCATGGTTAAATGTTACACATCACTTTTTTTTTACATCTCTGAACATCAGGGCACACCAGAGAAGAAATATTCCAGCTTGTATTACAAATCGAACATGGTATTAAACTGAACTTTTTCAGTGAACTCATCTTACCTTCCATGAATCTGCTGGGATTACTTGATAGTCGGAAATCGGAAAGTCAGGATTCAGTGCTTCGATCAGATCCTGGTCCTATAAAACGATTTATTCTCAGTCAGAAGCAACATTTTTACCATTTGTACCAATTAAAAAGCTAAATGTGAGTTGAGAAGAAGCTGTTACCTCAGTGATTGGGACGGCTGAGATCTCCTGCAGAAAGACACATGTGAGCACGATGGCCACTGCAACTGCAACACTGAAGCCCCTCATCGTAGTACAAAGTGGAGATTTACTAAGAACTTGATGAATGTTTCGAGCTCTTTATGATCTCCAGTCTGACGATCGAATGTGTGCTACGTATTTATAGTCATTTGAGGAACGATTGGCTTATTGCAACAAACCTGAAGTGACTCAATTTGGTATTTTCCACTGCATGATGGTTGGAATGGGCGTTTCCTACAAAAGTGAAATTCCGTATATTTGACAGTTTCATCACAAATGACCCCTGTGGCCTTACCCCATGGCTCATTTCGATCCAAAGGCAACAAGAGGGTTAAATTATTTAACTATATTTCCTCCAGATTCAAGAGAAAGTCTCAGACAGAAGTATTTAAACAAATATTTAATCTGTTTCTGTTCTGAGGTTACCACTATTTAAAATGTCTTTAACCATCCATCCATCCATTCATTATCTCTACCCGCTTCTTCCATTTTGGGTCACGGGGGTCGTCGGTGCCTATGCCCAGCAATCACTGTGCGAGGGGCGGGGTACACCCTGGACGGGTCGCAAGTCCATCACAGGGACACATAGAGACAAACGAGACAAACAACCATTCACTCTCTCACTCACACCTAGGGACAATTTAGAGTTACCAATCAGCCTAACATGCATGTTTTTGGTCTGTGGGAGGAAACCGGAGTACCCGGAGAAAACCCACGCATGCACGGAGAGAACATGCAAACTCCACCCAGAAAGGCCCCTGGACCGGGGTTTGAACCAAGGACCTGCTCACTGAGAGGCAGCAGCTCTACCAGTTGCGCCACCGTGCTGCCCAAGAAAAGTAGTATCATCTGCAAACAAAATACATTTAAAAAATCCAGACACATTTACCAGGTCATTCACATATAAAATAAATAGCTTATGTCCAAGTATAGAGCCTTGAGGCACTCCACATGTAACATTACAGAATTCAGATTTTACATCATTTATTTGAACAAATTGTTTCCTTTTTTCTAGATAACTAGATACCCACTGCAATGCATGCCCTCTGACACCATATTTATTTAGTTTTTTGAGAAGAATATTGTGATCAATAGTATCAAATGCTTTCTTTAGATCAACATAAATACTAATACAATATTTTTTTTGATCCACAGCAGTCGTTATCTGTTCCATTAAATCCATGAGTGCCATTGACGTAGAATTTTTAGGTCTAAACCCATATTGACTATTACTTAATATATTTTGCTTATTGATAAATTAATCTAATCTAGTGACAAATAATTTCTCTAAAATCTTCGAAAACTGTGGCAACAACGATATTGGCCTGTAATTATTAAACACACGTTTCTCTCCACTCATATAATGGTACTACCTTGGCTATTTTCATGTTATTAGGAAATACCCCTGTTGAAAATGATAAATTGCATATATATGTAAATGGCTCAATAATATAACTCATAATATTCTTTACCAGCATCATATCCATGTCCATCCAGTCTTTTGATTTTTTATCTGCAAGATGTTTTACGATAGTCATAATTTCTTCTTTATCAGTTCCCCCAAGAAAAAAACTGTTTGTGTAATCCGTAACCATATGGTTTACATTTTTATCTATATTTGGGATTTTTGCTGCCAGACTTGGGCCAATATTCACAAAATGTTCATTGAATCCATTTGCGATTTCATTTTGGTCATAAATTTCTTTGTCATCCTTTACAAAATATTGTGGAATGCTCGATTTTGTTTTATGATTATTCAGAACACTGTTCATTATTTGCCATGTTGCCCTCATATTACCATTACTTTTGTCTAATAATTCACTGTAATATTTCTTTTTATGCTTTCTTATAATCCCTACCAATTTATTTTTATAATTTTTATATCTCTGTTCTGCTTCGTTTGTTCTTAATTTCAGAAAGTTTGAGTATAAGTAGTTCTTTTTTTTACAAGCATTTCTTAACCCTTTGGTCATCCACGGTTTGTCATCAACACGTTTCTTTGTGTAATTTTCTTGTACACAATTTTTTTCATATAAAGCTCCTAAAATATTCATAAATACATCATATGCTTTGTTTACATCATCAATATATACATCCTTCCAAGTTTGTTTTGTTAAATCTTCTTTTAGTTTATCTAGAGCTTTCTTTGATGTGTTTATTATTTTTTTCATAATTTTTTCTACTTTCACATCATATTGATCTTTTTTATAGATAGTGAAGACTGGTAGGTGGTCACTGACATCCGTGATCAAAATGCCACCCATAAGTTCTTTATTTGTTATATTTGTAAAAATGTTGTCAATTATTGAAGCACTATGGGTAGTAATTCTTGTGGGTTTTGAAATTAATGGATAAAGATTTAAACTGTGCATTGAGTTTATAAATGTTCCGATATTATTTGAGTCTGTTTTATTTCCCAGGTCTATATTAAAATCTCCACACAAAAAAAACTGATTTATTAGAACTTTTTTCCAATATTGTCATGATGTGATTGGTGAATGATTCAATATTTGAATCAGGTGATCGATATACACAACTTATCATTATATTTTTGGAAGTCTCGTTTAATATTTCAACTGTAATCATTTCCATAATGTTATCCACAGCTACTGACAATTTATTGATCATTTTTCATTTAATTTCCTTATTCACAAGTAGAGCTACACTTCCACCTCGTTTATTGTTTCTGTTCACATGATAAAGTTCATACCCTTCAATATTAACACTTTTTATATTTTCCTCATTTAGCCATGTTTCTGAGACTGCTATTATACTGAAAGCTCTATTTAACTGATTTAAATAATCTGTTATTTTAGATAAATTAGTGTTTATACTTCTACTATTAATATGAATAATGGAGAAGTCATCTTTAGACATTTTAATTTCATTGAATTTATCTTCATTGTAATACTCACACTATTTAATTTCAGGAAAAAAGGTTTTATCAATCACATCATCTATATTGTAAATTTTAAATTCTGAGTCTTCGTATGTTGTCATATTTCAATGTATGTGTCCATTTGTCATTTACCATTTTTAGCTGATCCGTTTACCTTGTTTAGTTTGTCTGTTTACCTTGTTTGTTTGTCCATTTCTGGACTCATTTAAATCTTTCCAGCTCCTTGAGTTCTTTTATTATTTTAGCATGAGACCCTTCCTGTTCTTTGATCCAAATGTTTCCGTTTCTGCTCCAAGTTGATGATATTTTTTTTTGTTTTTTTAACAGCCTTGCTTCACGTGCAATATCTGCATTTTTTTTTGTTAAGTGTTCATTTATGTAGACGTTTGTTCCTTTCAGTTTTTTTGCTTGTATTATTACATTGTTTCTTGATTTCCTGTTTGTGAACTTGATCACTACAGTCGGTTTGTGTTTGTTTAATTTATTAGGCAATGTGTGACAAATTGAAATGTCCTTTTGTTCGATTTTAATGTCCTTGTCCTGTAAGAAAGTAACTACTTGCTGTTCCAGAGTTAGTTGTTGCTCCTGTGGTAAATCTTCAGTGATGCTTCCATTTTTAGTAGCATCTGCATAGGATTGGTGTTTGATTTCCAATCCGTTAATCAGCAAGTCATTGTTTTTTATAAATTGTTCTAGACCATCTACTTTATTTTCCAGTTCAGATATCTTTTTGTCTCTTACCATCACCTGGTTTTTCAGCAGCTTTATCTCTCCCAACGCTTCCATCAAGCTGTTCAGCTGATCTGCTTGTCTTTTCTGCTCTGTACCCATAAAGTTCAGTGAGCTTTTAATCTCTTCCATATCGTTTGAATTTTCATCTGTTGAGTAGAATGACTTCTGTTTGTTCTTATTTTTTGCCATTACTCACAGTGGTAGCTTCTGGGCCTAGCCTTAGCAGCGTCTATGCCTCGTGATAGTAGCTCCTGTGCCTGGTCGCTGTTTTTTCTCGTTCAACGATGTAGCGTTCACCTCGCTAGCCGTCAACAGCCGCGGTCTCCTCGTCGCCGAAACTCCCAGGTCCGAGACGCAGCAGCTGGCTGCCCCACGATGTAGCGTTCACGGGCCGCTGCTTTGCTAGCCGTCGACAGCCGTGGTCTCCTTGTCGCCCACACACCCAAGCCTCGGTGTAGCAGCAGCAGATGGGCTGTCCCGCTGCTAGCTAGCCGCTATCATCCGCGGCCTCCTCGTCTCCTACATCACTGGACCGTCCCACGACGATGTGTTCAGGGACGTCCGTTTAGCTGGCCGCCAACAGCCGCAGACTCCTCAGTCCATCCAGCTTGAGTTCACAACAAACTCCAGAAAATTCCTTCAATGAAACGTGGCGTTTGGCCTTTTGTTTTGTTAAATTTTTCAAGCTTTGATGCTCAGCTTCTGCACAGCCATGCGCTCATGCCGCCATCTTGCCCTGTATGTATGTATTTTTAGATATCATAAATAAAGATTTGACGAATGCAAATTAAATTGCAGATATCTTGATAGCAAATAACGACTAGGCAAAACTAACTTAAATATATCTAGAACTGTACTTATGACTAGTCAAAATTCTTTTTAGGATATCTCAAAATGAATTCAAGATATCATCGGTGCGGCGGGTTCCGACGGAGGCCTATGAGTTTGTCGCTGTTGGCCCCGGGGGGTCACTGTATGTGGTCGCTGGTGGGGATCTTCCGGTTCTCCCCTGTGGTCCGTTCTGGGGGGTGGGTGAGTGGTTCGTCCTGTGTGGGTGGCTCTGGGGGCTCCGCGGTCGGGGTCCCTCCTGGGGTCTTGGGCTCTGGTCCCCCCTTTTTTATCTGCCTCTGGTCTTGGGGGTCGGGTCTCTGCTGCTTCACAGTTACTATTGAATGTTCTATTAGAGAAGCCTTATACACTTATGCATGCTCACAACCACACACAAATAGAAGCAGGGATGCTTATGTAGGCTTTATATGTAGATATGTAGATATGTATATTCATATATATTCATGTGTATGTATGTATGTGTAGTATGACATATCCTGAGATATATTCATACATTAAACGGGTTCTTCATTTTTCTGGACTGTATAACATACGTGCATTGAACTTAGATAAAATGTGGACGTGAGACGTTATTTATCTTTGACCCATCAAAATGAATGGAGGTCATTTATTTACAGAATCAAAGTTTA